CTTTGGCTCCTGCTCAGGTATTCTCTGTGCTCCTTCTATGGGAAGTCATTTTCACCCTGGGTAAGTGTGGAGCCCTCCACCTAGAAACACTATCTGAATGTGACTAGGGTTTCTGGCTCCCCTGGGATTCTCAGCTCTGTGATGCTCATCATATGACTTAAGACGAGATGGAGCAGAGCATAGGTGAGAAAAGGTGGTTCTAGAACAGGAGGCACTCTCAAGGCTGAGAGTGAACAACGACCAAAGAGGCCCTCAAGGAAGGAAAGGCTCTCACAATGGTCAGAGATGATTGTTTAGGAAAACACCTTCCTTCCACGAGAGTAGACATTGGCCAGATTAACCCTTACGTTGACCTATTTGTTTAGGTAGACTTTCTCCATTTCTTGAAATTTTAGGAACAGATATCTTTCCAAAGGGCATTTTCCCATCCAGGTAATTGACAGATTGACAGGCTCATTTGTATTAACTTTTTTTCTTCTTATTGAGATAGGGTTTCAGGTAGCCCAGGCTAGCTTTGAGCTCACTGGGTAACTAAGGGTGACTGGGTGAGTTCCCAGTCCTTCTGCCTCTATCTGCTGAGTGCTAAGGTTACATAATGACCATCCAGCCTACTGATGTCTAGTTAGAGTCTTACCATGACTGTCACAAGGCTGCTCTCCTCACTAGTCTGTGACATGGACTCTTGATAGTCCTTATTTCATCCTTCCTATTTTATTTGCTTATTACCTCTTATCCTATTTCCCTCTCCTGTGTGTCAAGGTCCACTGGACTCTTTACTCACCAGGACCAGATCCATGCATGACATTTTTATTTTTCTACCACCAATACTTAGCAAGACACCTGGTACCCAACAGACTCTGAGTGGGCTGTGAATGAGTGAATGTTGCATTAACCCATCTTTAAGCCATTCCTCAGATGTCAAAAATGATCATCTTTAGAAGTCCGCCCCTGTCCCTTACCTGGGTATGCATGCTGTATGGAGAACCATGTGGAAGCCCTGACTCATTTTGCTGGGTCTTCCTAATCCTTGCCTGGGTCCTGCGGGGCTCTCAGAGCTCTATTTCTTCTGTGACAAGCTCCACCATGTGGGCCTTCCCTGAGGCTCCAAAGACTCACTTCACCATGAAGGGTCTGTTTGCCTCCAGCACTTCGTTCTGGATGAGAGGGACCTCATAATTTGAACCACAGTTAGATTCCTCACCTCTGTTCGCTTCTCAGTGTCTGGGCTATGCTGAATTCTACCCCCCCCCCCCAGACAACTTTCCTCTCTCACACAATCAAACCGAACTTCCAGTGAGAAACTACAGCTCTGTGAAGTTTGTCTTGTCAAGAGACCCCAGTCAGGCAGCTTCTCATTCTTTTTGTGTTCTATCACAGACTGCAGCTGCTTGGCCTCCCTGATAGGAAAATGTAGGACTTACACAGCTAAGTCTGGTTACACTCTAGAGCAGAGAGGAAATATCTTTCATTCCATAAGAGTGAGATAGCTTGGCTTTTTAAAGACATCCAAGCTAATTTCTCTATTATCTGATTGCTCACCCGGTTCATCTATAAACAGTTTCTATAAACTAATTCACTACCCTGAGGCACAGCTAGTGGCTGGTGGTCTAGAATCCACCTAGTTTCTGCCTTGTTTTCCTCCTAAAAAGTTCAGCCTTGTCCCTCACTCTATCAGCTAGACACTAGGCCATGCCAGGACAGGTTTCCTGGAAGTCTGACCATTCCTGGTGGAATTGAAGGCCATTCTGAAAGACTGTCATGTGGATCCTCCCCCACCTCGGCTTATGCATTCATTAATGCTGGCCTTGGTACATTCTTAGAACATTATCTTTCACTAAAATTAGCTTCAGTATTGGGGACTTTTATTTGCCTCTATCTGTCTTTTCTTTCTTAAACTGAGGCCCAATGCCCAACACCTAAGCCAGAAGTTTACACTACCATCAGTCATTGCACTTCCATTTCAAACCTTGGAAGAAAGTATCACTTAAGACTAAGTGGGGCTGTTGGCTGGAACCACTTTTTATGGTGTAGCATTTTGGAGGGTCCTGAATTTTCTAGGAGTGAGATCGGTCATTATTTGCTGCACTGAATTGTTCAGATTTGAAGTGTTATTATTTAAACCAATAAAGATATGATAGGCATATCAGTCCAAAGGTATCATGTAGTTACAGCTGTTTTTAGCCAACACCATACTTAACTCAAATCCTCCTTTGAGTTTATTTGGAGCTTAATCTACTTATCCATTCACCTATGAAGCAACTTTCAGTGAAAGTGAGGTCCTCCCAGTGCTATGAATGTGTCCAAAGTGAGTCAAGGATGTTCAATCCCCTATGGCCTGAGGTCGTTTCTAAAAGATAGAGCCCACGCCTTCCACGGCCAGCCCTTAGCCTGCTGAGCTAGTAAGGCTGATTTCTAAAGCCCTTCCCTTTTATTTGTTTATTCTTTCACATGGTTGAGTCATTCTAGCAGCAAGAACTGCCATGATTAAAGTCAAAGCAAATGTGCCTTCGCCTGAGAGGAACAGAGTTCTGCTAAATGTTAGTGGTTTAAATAGATGGGGATCTGACAAGATGGAGACAGCTGGACTCGAGGGGAAGCGGGGAGGCAGCAATGCCTGCTATGTCCCTTTAACTGAGAGAGCGAAGCTGGGCAATCCCCACAGTAGCTTTTCTCTTAGGTCACATTGCCCTGGACTAAGTCACGTGACCATCTTGGCTGCAGCAACAGTTGCAATATTCGGGAATGAGATTATCATAATTGGCTTAGACACCTCGCTTCATTCTTTTCTCAGAGCCTGGCAAAAGATCACCCTGAACAAAATCAGAGAGAAAGGACAGATAGATGCTAGACCAGCAGCTCTCTCAGGGAGAGAGACTAGGAGAACCTCAGAAGCCACAAGCCACAGTCCAAGCGGAGCTTTGAATCTTTTGGGGAGCAATTACTAACAGGAGTTGAGTAAGTACACCAGACTCTCCACTCCAGAGAAGAGACGGCGCTGTCTTGTTAAAGCTGTGTGTGCAGCAGAGTGCCTGGCGTAAAGGAGAGGCTTTGTAAACAGTTACTGAATAATTAAATAACCAAAAGGAGCCTGGAGAAAAGCAGATGATGAGAAAAAAGCATAGTCTCTTCATTGCTCAACTGATTTCTCTGACTAGAATTTTCTAGAATAATTGTGATATTTTAGATCAAGGGATGCCATGGTTCCTGCATGAGTTGATTTTGAAAAGTCAGCTAATACTATTCTCGATTGGAGAAGTAGACATTTGTAGGTGGATCGGTAACAACTGAAACAAATATACTCAGGTTCCTTCTGATCACCAGGGGCAGCCTTTTGGAGATGGACCATTAAATAGGCAGTGTTTGCAAATGTTGGAAAAACTGTGGAGCCCAGTGAGAAAGGCTTGGGTTCTGGTCCCTTCTGTCACCTTCTGTCTTTGTGGGTTGAACTCTCTGCTGCTGTCATTCATGTTAGTTATACATGCCATCAACTCCGTATATATTGCTTTTGTTTTTGTAGTAAGTAGTCATTATCTTTTAAGGAGATTTTAGTAAGAACATTCCTTGGGGGTCCTTATGGTCTTGTAGTACCTTTGTGTAGATTCAGATTTCAAGCTACAGCATTTTACTTTTTGTTTGGAAGCCAGTACCATTTCTTATAGCCTGCATTTTCTAGAGATGAATTCTTTTAGTGTTTACCTTTCTCCTTTCCTTCAGGGACACCAGTTGCATGTGCCTGAAGTCCCTGATGCCGTATTCATTATTAATTTCCGGGTCCTCAGTGCTGCACTCTGAGTAGTTCTGACACAGTGTTCTACAGTAATTCATTTTCCAGTAACATTTAATCTGTTCTTAACTCATCACAAGTGTGTATGCGTTTACACATTTTTAAAAATCTCAGTGACTTCATAACGTCTGTCTGATTTGGATCTTTTTGAGACAGGATCTCTTGTAGCTCAGCAGGCATTGAACTCACCTTATACTGGAGGATGACTTTGAACTCTGATCCTTTGCCTCTACTTCCTAAGTGCTGGAATTAAAGGTCTATGTCACCACATCTGCTCTTACGTTGTGGTTGTGCTACATATGGAATACATGGCTTCATGCACGCTACCCAGGCAAGCCATCAACCAACCGAGCTATAGTCTCTCTTCCAGGCTAGTTTGGCTTAATTTTTTTTACATGTTTCTACTCTACTTGCTATTAACCTATTATATCTAAGATTTTCAATTTATGGGTTTCCCCATTTCTGGTGTGCATTACTCTTTCCCGTCTGTCTTTCTTTCTTCTTTTTTGCATACCTAATAATTTCAATTTGACAACACTGAGAACTTCACTGTGAGGTACAGGATACAGGATATTTTTTATTCCCTGTGAGTATTCTCATGCATTATTCTAAGATACATTTTTTTAAAGCAATTGACCAGGGGGCTGGGGGATCTTGTTTTTTAAGATGTGTTAGATAGGACCATAATAGACTTTATTGTAAGGCTAGTTTTGCTCTGCTACTGAGGTGAGATCATTTATATCATGAATTATGGGGTTTTCAGACTCTGAAGATCAGGCATTTTACAGCATGACCACCAAGAATCTTTTAACTCTGACTTGTAGGAACAAGAATAATTCCCCATCTTGTGCAAGCCACAACAAGTGCTCTCTCCACTCTTCATATGTTTCTGTGTTCTTCCCTGGAAGTGGATAGCTTCCTGACATGTGTAGGCGAATTAGCTCAAGACTGGACTGAGGTCTGCAGGTCTTCACGGCTCCCTGTGCCACATAGCTTTCTCCTCTGGTGTTCTGCTCCAGCTCCAATACCCATAGTGTCTCAGTTCTAGCTCCTCAATTTATAGACTACCTAAACCTCCTTTTTGTATTGAAGCCTGATGACTCTTTCTAGGTGATAAATCAACGTAATTATAGGGCTCAGCTCACTTGCTTCCCTCCCCCAAGACTGTCAGTCTCAGGTACATGATGTCTGATGTGTGAATACTATTGCTTTATACCTGCCTGTTTGCTTTTTGTTGTGTTAAATCAGGCAGTGGATTCACTCATTGCTCCATCTTGACGGGCTGGACTGGTGACTATAATTCACTCTGTTGATAAAAGAGATTGCTTAGGGTGTCACCGGTTTCCAAAACAATTTTCATTAAGTAACCTGAACTTTTTGGCATGGCAACCCACATTTACACATACAGTAATCCTTGTGCAAGAGGAGTCCCTACAAACGACTTTTATGTAAGACATTTTCCCTCTGATTTACATTTTAGAATTTCTGTCAGTCTTTCTACTTTGTTTCATGTTGTTTTCTTTATCACCCTAAGGCTTTTATTTTTTTTCCTTCCATTATTTTTTGTTTTGTTGTTAGGGCCCAGTATCCTATGCACAAAATTTCATGTTTTGGGATAAGAATCACTCTTTGTAGCCAATATACAGTGCTCCAGAACTTTGGTGAAGTATGTTTGCTTTTTGCTAAGGTACATGTGAAGCTAAATAAAGGCAGGGTCTCTGACTTCAAGAAGGTCTGTATTGCTTATTCTATGAACATCCTCTTCCATTCTCTGGGGTTGTTTCCCAGAAGAGAATATTTGCTTCTTAGGATGGGTTTATAGAGAGAGGTAGAAAGTTCAAGTTAAGAAAGTCGTGTTTTTCTCATGCCTCCGCTTCAGATATTTATGGGGTGCTTATTATAACATGGCATTGAGCATTGATTAGGACTCTAGTGCAGGGCACTGCCATCATGAGTTTGTAACCTTGTGGAATTCTGACATAGACTGATGAGGACTGGAGACATGGTGCTATGGTTAATCTTTGAGATGTCACAGAAGAACGTGATAATTGAGGACCAGAGCGAACAGGGAAGGCCTGGAGAACCGGGTTAGGGACTGTGGAGTGCTGGGAGGAGCATAATATGCACTGCACAGCATGTCTCAGGACCATGGTAGGGACAACTGCTGAGGAAGAGTGGGAAAAGAGAGGCCTCTCTGTTGTAGGCCTGCCTGAGGTGCTGGGCCCAGGGATTTCAATACTAGGGAGTTCTGGCTAAGTTTTTATTGGGTTATTTGTGCACAAAGATGTATGTGAGCAGAGGACTAGGGTGAGAGCATGCAAGATGGACAAGAACCAACAGCAGTGACCTGAGAACAGAGACCATGTCTTAATTATCTGTGTTCCCAGATTCTAGTTCCTACTTCATGTGTGCTGAGTGGTATATCGTTTTCATTTTAAACTGCTAATGCTTTTGATAACCATCGGCCTTGCCAATAGCTTTGACAAATACTGCAAAAGAGCCCCTTGCTGCCCAGTGCTGTTTTGTTTAAATGGCTCAAGTGAGGTAAGGTTTGATCGGGACTTCTTCAAGCTGTTTTAAAAAAGGCATTTTTAACTGTAAATTCATATATAAGTTTATATACACACATATGAACTAAAGTGCTGTTAATGATTTCTGAGTACAATGCAAAGTAACTAAATTGAGCTAATTAGCATACCATTATTTCAAACACTTAGCAGTTTTTGTGGTGAGAACATTTGAAACGTACATTTCAACACCCCTAGGAAGGCAGAACGTGGCCATTTAGCACATTCAGCGCATATACTATTTAGCGCAATATACCTCAAAGGAAAAAAGCTGACTCTTCCTGCCTTGGAGGCTTTGTATCTTTCAAGCCTTACCTTGTCCATTCTTCATTTTTTTTCTCCCTGTGAGGCTCAGCCACTCACAGAAATTTCACAACGTTGCCTTTAGCAACCCCTGCCTCCACATTCGTAACAGATTCAGTTTACTCTCAGACATCTCATAAAAGGGCAAGATCACGCTTAGGTACCTAAACCTACACAGCCCACATACACTCCACCGCAGGGTCTGGTGAGCCACACAAGGAAGATGACAGAAAGACAGACAGACAGACCGACCGACCCGCCGACCGTCGCGCGAAGCATGCAGCATGGGCAGCGCAACCACTAGGTTCACTCCCCAGGCTCAGCGCACGCCGCGCACCCTTCAGCCAGGGGCATTATGCAAGGCCGGGCGGCCGGCAGCCCCTGACATCACTGCCGCGCGCCGCTTGCGTCATCGCCGCGCGCCGCTGCAGCAGGCGCAGAGCTGGATCGCTGGCAGCTGCGGGCGCCCAAGGCGCGAGCTGCGGGGCTGGTGGAACAGCGCGTGGTGCGGGCTGCGGCTGCGGGACGCCGCGGGGCCCGAGCGCGGGGACAGGTGCGTGGGCGCCCCTCTGCCCGGGCTCGCCCGAGGCTTTGCAAGTGTCCCGGGCGCACTCCGGGTTCCCCCTGAAGTGGGCCGGGCTCCGGGATGGGTCGGCACGTGAATGCCCGCGGGACCCGCCTGCGGTGGAAGCACCGGCAGGGCTGTCGTCTCAGACCCCCGGGGAAACCGAGGCAGCAGGGCGCTCCGCGAGCAGCTGGCTCTGGGGACCGCTCGCTGACGGCAGCCACGCGTGGTGGCACTGAGCGCTGTGCACTCCACGGTGTCGTGGGCGTGCTCTGGAGACCCCTGCCCTCCCTGCAGCCCTGACAGTTGAGTCGGGTTAATGCTTCTCATTTGCCAGATGGAAAACGCAAGGCGTAGCAGTTAACTAACTTGTCCAAATTCACACGCTGGCTGTGCAGCCGGGGCTTTGAACTCCAGAGGGGGCCGGCCCGCTTGCCTCTGCCTGTGTCCGCCTGTCAGATTTTGTTTTCTGCCCTGGTCAGCACAGCTGTCTGTACCCTTTAGGATTTTAGTTTTTTCTTTTTAAAATTCTCCTCCCCTCTCCTGTTTAAAAAAAAAAAAATCTGCCTTGACCTCGGGTAAACCCTGTGGGGCGGGAGGAGCAAGGCGGGGACTTCTCTTGGCACTAGCCTCCTTTCCCTCCTCTGATCGCCTCATTTTTTTTCTCAAGCAGCAGCGTGCTCCCCCGTTGTGTGGCCATTCTGGACCGGAAGTTGGTAGCCGAGGGCCGAATCTTTATGCTACAGAAGAACTTTCGCCCCAGGTGCTGTGCTTTCTGGGTCTCTGGTGTCAGCTTATGTAGTTGCAGTTGTTTTGAGGCTAAACAGTTACTGGAACAAATCCACGTGGGGATTGTAAAGAGTCCAAGTTTTCCCTTTAGAGAACACTGTTAAGTGAAGGTGATCTTTGGATTTTACAAAAAGAATCTAATGCTAGGTGAGAAATAGCCTACAGCTAAAATAATTACAGATTGTATAAGAAAGCTGTACTCATACATATGACGTGTATTGTATTAAGTAAGCTTATGCTGTAGTTGGAGAGATGGGTCAGTGGTTAAGCGTGCTTGCTGATCTTTCAGAAGACCAGAGTTTGGTTCCCAGCACCTGCATTAGGTGCCTTCTGACCACCTGGAACTCTAGCTCCATCTGGAACTCTAGCTCCAGGAGGTCTGATGCCCTCTTTTGGCCTCCTCAGACACTCATACATATGCACAAACATGCACACATATTCATAAATGAATAATAAAAAGTTATGTCTTCATCCTCTCAGGAATTATCGATTATTAACAAAGTGCAATAATTATTTGTTGCATACCAGCATTAAGCCTTTCATTCTTACAAGTGATATTTATGGCAGTTTTGCTCAGGAATCTGAAGGGTACAGATGTTGCATCCTTGTATGTTCAGGAAATACTAGTATACAAATGTTGACTTTTTCCTCTGGGGTCAGGGCAGCATAACAGAAACATAAACACGCCAGGCCAGATGAGCACTCTACCACCGACCTGATGCAGCGACTCACGGCACTAGAAACCTGTCATTTCATTTGATACCTTGTTGCCGAACAGAATGGTGTAGACATCAGCATTTTCAGACCTGGCATTAAGTCTCTGGATGCCTCCTTGAATAGTACTTATTTTTTACAGCACATGATTTGGGACTGCCACATTGTGACATGGATGAGTCTTCAGTGACGCTTGGCACAATAGATGTTTCTTATCTGCCCAGTTCATCAGAATACAGCCTTGGCCGGTGTAAACACACAAGTGAGGATTGGGTAAGCGGAAGAGAAACCTTAGAATAGTTTACTGAGCTGTCTGCCTTATATCAAGTAGAGATTAATCATCACAGAAACTGCTTCCAGCTGTTAGAAGTGGTGTTTTTGCAACCTAAGAATAATTTAAAATTTTTGATAGTACTAATTGGGAAGAAAAACTGGATGGAAAATTTCAAAATAATGATTATATTAAAAAGCAAATCACTTGTCTGGAGGCATAAACAGTAACCGTTGTTTTGGGTAGTATGCTTACAAATTCTTTTTTTTTTTTTTTTTTGGTTTTTCGAGACAAGGTTTCTCTGTGTAACTTTGCGCCTTTCCTGGAACTCGCTTTGGAGACCAGGCTGGCCCCGAACTCACAGAGATCCACCTGGCTCTGCCTCCCCAGTGCTGGGATTAAAGGCGTGCGCCACCACCGCCCGGCTCAGTATTTGGTTTTTTAGAGACTGTCATAGGAGTGAGATCTGAACAATAAACACACCCAGAGTTAAAGAGGAGTCTGCATACCCTTGAACAGGGTTTGACTCTAGTCAAACTGTCTCCGCTTCACATTCCAACTTTAAATGCTCTTGATAACAATGTCATTAAGCATGCTTTGTTTTTCCTCTGACTATGGCAAGAACAACAGCTCACTGTGTCAGGCGTTCCTAGTTTTCCTGTGGGACTGTTTTGGAAGGGCTCAGGGTTGACTGAGCACAGGGATTCAGGGGTCTGATTTCTTCCTCCCACTGTCAGAAGCCCCTTTGACCTTTGCACTTTTGTTAACCAACATCTCAGCTTATACATGGAAGAATGGCAGTGGTTGCCTTTATGTGCCTGGCTATTGTTAACATAACTCCAGGCTGCTTTGGCTTTCATCCCTTTTTGTGACTGAATAATGTTCCACTGGGTAATAATGTATGTCATATTTTTATCCATTCATCCTTTGGTGAACATCAAAACTGTGACAAAACCTGTGAATGCTGTATCCAGCAGTTAGCAACTGTTACAAACTATGTTTTTAGGAAATCAACTTTTTCCTATGTAACAAACTTTTTTCTAAGTGATGATTGTGGAGCAAGATACTTTACATGAAAACACTCAATGCACATGTAATTATACTGCCCAAAGAAAGAAACAGCATAATTTTCTCTTTTATTTGAAATATCTTAGTTTTAGAGACCAAGAGAACAGTTCTGATGCCATTTAAACACAGTTTCTGCCTTACATTTATCAGGGTGACTGTGGGTTCAAACCTACCTTCTTCAGATCCGCAACGCTAAAATGGAAGGAGAGCCTCATGAGCCGGAAGAGGCCGTTTGTGGGAAGGTGCTGCTACTCCTGCACGCCACAGAGCTGGGTAAGAACTCCCCTGCTCATCACAGAGGGCTTTAGTTTTGTGGATTTTGTTGTTTGGTCTTAATGGATTTGACTCCTTCAGAACCAAGACCCCTGTTTTTAAGTCAAACATTTCAGGTAAAGAAATGGACTTAATTCATTTATTCAATAATGTTGGTCCACAGTTAGGGGGAGAGAAGATTTTACTTTGAGTTAACATCCATAGCCTTGATGGGGTAGTGCTCAATACCTGCTGGGTGCTGACTTTTAGCCTCCAGGAATGTCCTTGGTTTTTTGTTATTTTGTTGAGCGATAAGCATGCCACACCCTTCCTTGTTCTTTGAGAAGAGCCGACTGGGTGAAAGGTGAGCTGCTAATGGCATTTGGTAGAGGGATGAGTTAGCAACCCTAGTATTTCCTTCCCTCCTGTTCTAAGCAGAGTTAGGGTTTTGAAAGGTTGTATTAGTTGTTAAGCTGTTCTTGGGATGGACCAAATATTTAGGACTCGGAAACTGTCGTTAACAGAGGTTGTTTAGAACTTGTGCGGATGGCTGACTGTGCTGGGTGAATTCTCTACTGGAGTCTGGCTTGGCCGGCGGTCCAGTTCTGAGCCTGGCCTAGATGGCTTTGCTAACATTGGTGAGGTCCAGACAGAGCCGGAGCAGTTCTTGTGTAGCATCCAGGTCTGCTCAAGAACGGCTTGCTAGAGATGCGCCTTTTAAAGTGTAAGTGCCTTAACACAGGACTCTGTTACCACTGCAGGAGCATGGAAATGCCAGTCCAGGAGTGAGGCCAGTTTGCATATAGAGGACAGTGGAAACAAAGGCTTAAATAGAAGGCTTTTCTTTGTAGACTGGCCTCTCACCTAATTCTAATTTTGATCACAAGGCAATGCCTTAACTACAGTTCTCCACCACAGTATTGCACCTGCAGCGCTAGAGTGTATTGTCAGCCAGAGCTGCATAGGGAATTACTGGTGGTGGTGAGGCTATGGCCTGGGGTTGAGTGGGTATATTGTAACAGGCTGTTGCTTTTTGTGTAGAGGTAGTAATGGATAGAACTACATTGATCTTGAATTCCTCCTATGTTCATTTAAATAATTTGTTAGAAAGTTTTTTATAGTTCTTGATATTTGACATCCATTCTTTGAAAACCTAATTTTTTATAAAGAGATTTCATTGCAGTAATTTTTACATCTTGTTGACACTTTTTTTGCATTTATTTTTGGACTTTTACTGTTTTGATTGTTAAAGGGCTAGGCTGTCCTTTTAAGATCTGTAAAGAGAGTGACTGGTAGGTGTACTTTTAGGTGACTATTAGGTGTTCAGTTGTTTTAGAGAATGGAAATATCTGAGATTGAATGCTTAGGTTTTGGCAGCCTCAATTTTCTTCCTCATATAATGGGTAATTTTCATGTGTCTTGTGCGCAGAGGGGTTTAATTCAACAGTAACTGTGGTATTTAGGATAATAGTTTGTTTGAATTTGGGGGCCACTGAAATCTGTGACTTTGTGACTGAAGCTGACTGTGGTCCTGCTCTGTGACTGTGACTGACTGTGGGTCCTGCTCTGTGACTGTGACTGAAGCTGACTGTGGGTCCTGCTCTGTGACTGTGACTGACTGTGGGTCCTGCTCTGT